CAAAGTTAGTGACTAGCTGGTGAACATAGTGGAATGTTTAGCAGCTAAAGAGACAGATATTTTCCACAGGAGTCGGTGGAAACCAAAACAGAGCTCAAAGGAGAGTGGATATTGACATTCATCAGGCGGCCAGAAATGCAACTCCAAATAAATGCTAATGTTTCTCCATGTCTGCTGGATGTATAAATAAGCCAGTGTTTGCTAACATATTAATTTTATAATGTGATAATATGTCTATGTTGTGTTTGGATCTTCTTATGCCACTACCAAGTGGACAAAAGATTGATTTACTGTGTGGTCAGACAGAAAGGCAAAGCGAATTTTAGAGGTAGCACAATCGCACAAGAAAATGTATGGAAAATCGTGAGTAGTAGTGCAAAAAGACACAGAGCATGCATTCAGTATGTTTCAACTTGAGCAAACACTGCATATTCCAGGTTGTATGAATGCGATCATATACATACAGAGACAAGAAAAAATGTTCACTCACCGTTAAGAGCTTTAAGAGAAAGTGGTACCACTATTCACTATTTAAGTTTTATTTAAGCTGTAACTATTGCCCTTTAATCACCATTAATACAAATTAGACATTTATTGAGGCTTTATGAAGCAGGAATAAACTATTGTAAAGAAGAACTTTTGCCCTTGTAGGTTAGTTTAAAAATGCTATGCTAGAGTATGAATTACATTAGTTGGATTTTTTACGAACTAGATGTTGTTATTAGTTACAGCTTATAAAGCCTATATAAAGGTTGTAGTGAAATTGTTTCAACAAATGTGAAAAACCCTGTTCTAGTTCGATTAATTATATTAGAGATTGTATGGCGAGAACACTTCTTCCAGGGGTTGCAGGACTGTTATGTTGTTAATAAAATCTCTCTGCATACTGTAATTTCTCTACTGTCAAACAGGATGGAGGTGTTGCTGCTCTTTCCTGTTACATAAAAGCCTTCTGGAAAGAAGTTTACAAAATAAGCCTCAATCAAATAAAGCGAGACATCATCATTTACATTGAAGTCTTTGCAGCATATTACTCCAATCCATAGTCTCAGTACCTGTCTGAGACAAGATCCACATCATCCATAAGCATGTAAACACTGCTGTGTGAGGCTTATTGGACTGAAGCTCAATAAAGCCTTGCGCATGCCTGTGTCCATGTTTGTGTGTACTCATGCAATATACATAGTTGTATGGGTATGAAAAGCATTAGAGATCTGTTTTTCTGCCCTATTACACATCAATGCACACAAAACTTTCCTGCGTAGGTGAGTATTGAGTGATTGAAAGAATTATTTCAGACAAAACACACAAGGTGTTTCTGTTGATTTAGAGTAAAGATCCTGTACATAAGGACGACATTTTAAAATGTTACAGTAGATAAACTGCTTAACTTCTATTTCACGTTATGTTGGTGCATTAAAAAGTCCACTGTATTTTTAGCCATGTTAGCAGTATGGCTTAATGGCCTAATGGATGGTAATGGGAGTGTGTCTAATGTTGGTCCACCACTTTGTTTCAGACGGAAATATCTCAACAGCTATTGGATGGATTGCAGTGAAATTTGGTACAGACATCCATGTTTCCCAGAGGGTGTATCCTAATGACTTCTGTCCCCACCGTCCCCTGACTGTTTCTCTCACACTACCTTGAGGTTTTTCAGGCAGGTGAAAATGAGGCAGCAGGAGAAGGACCCAAATGCAGATAGTCCAGGCAGAGAGGGATAGTTCAATTATTTAACGACCAATTGAAGATGCAAATAAGCTTACAGGTACAGGTAGGTCGAAAAGCAAATAAACATGACAACAAAGGAACTATCTGACAAATGACTGGGGAACAGGGGCTGGTATATGTGTCCTGTGGCTGACAAGGAAATGAGGCGCAAGTGAGGAGATGGGTAAGGAAGATCAGGTGAGGGGAATGAGGTGTTTGCAGCGCAGAGGGGAGTGGCAGGATCTGGAACCACATGAGAGAAAATATATATCAAAGCCTGTTGCACACCGTTTCATAGAAACGTGTTGCTCAACCTTGAAACCTTAGCTAAGCGGTGCACACTGTCTTCAGATTAAACGTGCCCCAGGTTTTGAGCAATGTGGGAATGTGGAAGAACTATTTGATGGATTGTCTTGAAATTTGGTACAGACACTCATGTTCCCCTCAGGATGATTTAGAATAACTTTGGTGACTATACCTGCTCAACATCAGTCCGTTAGCAATTAGCTCATAGCAATGCTGCGCGTCAGTACAGCTTCACAGAACCGCTAGGCTGTAGAATCTTGTTTTTCTCTAAAAGCAGCATAGCGAGCAGAGGCCCCTTTCTTCCTCTGTCTTTCATACTGGTTAAACCTAGCCTTCTTTTCTCCTCTATACACTTGTCTCCCCTCCCTGTTTTGCAGTCACTCTATAGCCAGAGGGCACAATCACACAACCAGAAAGCCAGTCAGGAAGCTTATTAAACATGACACTCACTGAGCACACTCAATATAGGCGAAGGACATAGGATCTGAGGTCTACATGCCAATTAGGAAAATCTGATCAATCATGGCAGTCAATGTGAACTCTCTCTCTCTCTCTCTCTCTGTTTCTTCCTCCTCTCTGTTGCTGTCTCTCTTTTTGCCTCACTTGCACATTATCTCCTCTAGTCACCATCCTTCTCATCTACTTTGAAAATACTTCTCAGCTATACGCACCAGCACTGCTGTTGCACACAATCACACACAGCTTGTTACAAAATAAACAGGGAATAGACAGTCGCCGTCTACAAGCACCCCACACTCCGGCGAGCTATTCATCACAATTTAGCCAGAGCATTAGACACTGAGGGACAATAACGCCCTCTCTAAAATTCCATCCAAAACACAAACAGCTACACACTTCTCCTCCCATGATGCTCATTTCCCTCTCCATTTGTCAACACACCCTCTCACACATTTTAATTCCCGCTAAGCTGTCTGTCATTTTTCTTTTTTCTCTTTAAAAACTAGGCTACACCATTCAAGTAGATTTAAAGAGAAAGGCAGTGAAACTGAAAAATGCCTGAGAATGTTTTTTTGTAACTATAATCCATGTATTATATAAATAGATTACTAAACATAGCCACAGTCAATTGAGTATTTGATCTATTTATATATATATTGTGCTTTTTTATATTTTTTCACACATTTCTGATAGTCTGCTATTGGTGTTTCAAAGATCTTTATGATCAGCCTTTTGACATAGCCTGTAAGTGATGGTATGACTGCAACATAATGTTATGTTATGTGTCCCAAGCCTTATATGTGAAGTTTTTCTATATTCGACATCAGTAAAAATGTCGAAAAATGGAGTTTACACATAAAGCGTTGTTATTAGATCTCTCTCTCTCTCTCTCTCTCTCTCTCTCTCTCTCTGTGTGTGTGTGTGTGTGTGTGTGTGTGTGTGTGAAATACATAAGCAGTCGGTTTTCTAATGCAAATTTTTTCTGACACAACTTAATGTAATACGTTCTCATTAACTCAATAAAATGTGACCCAAACTAGGGTACATTGACTTGAAATTGGTTTCAGTTAAATGCACATGTGATTAAAGGCCACCATTAAAAGTTGCCTTTATTTTTTCCCCCGTTAATGTAACCACTTTATTATATAAAGCACTGATTCATCTCTTAAAACGTTAAGGAAATATGATTTTTGTAAGATTTGAAGCACTGACAGCTACACCAGCATATGGCTGTTTTGCTGTAAATATACTGAGATATTTAAATTCTATATTCGTAGGCGAGATTTTGTATTTATCTGTCATCTTAACTTCTCCTGATCCCTCTCCAGTACCCTCTCCACCTTCGTTCTCATCAAGCCACTGATGGAGTGCTGCAGGAAAAGGTACTTCTTAAGGTCTTGTCAAAAGCTTGTTGAGAGGAGGTAATAGACCTGCTAGACTGGTGATGATGAAAAAGAGAGATCTGCTCACAGGATCTAATTTCAGCACCAGTGACTAGAATGCTGTAGGCTAAAGCTTGTTTTGTGTGCATAAAGAATTAAAGTGCACTAGCACCACCTGTAGACAGATTGGGTACATGCAAAGCTTCAAGCCATTAAAGCCAGTGATTTAACATCTACAGTATAAATGCACGTCTGTATACAAATAAACCATATAATTATTATAATAACACTTCTAGTATTGAGCATTAAAGTTCATCCTTTACATTGGAAACAGCATTTCACAGCTTTCATCAGCAGATTCAGGGATAAAAGCTCATAAAAGCAAGACAAATAAAAGACAGAAAGTTGTCCTTGAGTTAGGATTATTTTGTCAAAAATATGTAATTTATTAGGATGATGATGGATCACTGTACATGGATTTCTTATTTTAAAAATATACTGTAGCCTCTCTTCTTTGAACATTTAACATTTTCAAGTACAACAGATGGTGATGTGGTTTAAGATTTACTTGTTTAAATCACAAAAATAACAAATCCTGTTAGTGTAATCTTTAGCATAGCACTAACTTTGCTGTCCAACTTGTGACTCCCACTTTCATCCAGCAGATGGCGCCACAACTAAGAATAAAACTTAAGTCTGATGTTATTAAACTGAGCTTTTAATATTTATAATGAATAAACTACAGTTAGACTACAGTTCACATTCATACTCAACTGTAACCACGACTAATTTCTGTTCAATTTATGTTTTGTTGGCAACTGGAGCCCTTTAATATGAATCACATTGCCCGCAGCACACTGGGTGTGTACATGGGTGTGTAAGCTGCAAATATGTCACAAACACATTTACATATACATAAATGGTGGGGGAGAAGAAAAAAGGAAGACACTGATCTGTTTGAGGTCAAGTGTTAAGACATTTCAAATTCTGGCCATGAATATTACTTATTTACATGATTTCATACCTTATAAAACCTTTTGGCTCTGTCACAAATTACTGAACCCATAGCGATGAAAGCTGGAAGCTCTATGTGGAATACTGACTTTCCAAATGAACAAAACACAAACATAATAAAAAGAAACATGAAAAACACCAATAATTTATTTGACCAGATATGAAACAGATAGAAACTGACACACACTGGAACGGAAAACCACTGAAGGCAGATCCTCAACTTCTTCCATGTCAGTGTCCCAGGGCAGAAAGGAAGCTGCTGTATGTAGGTAATAATTGTATTTCCATAGACTCCAGTGAATATCAAGTGCAGCCTCGCTTTAAAAAGGTTTGGTGGGGAAAAGTGTAGTGCAGCACACAGGTAGGTCATCTTGAGGTGTGTTCTCACAGTGACAGACGTGTGGCACATCCAGGATCCAGCAGCTTCACACAGAACACCAGAGAACCCCTGGGAAATAAAGAATATAAAGATCAGACACTGTTGCTCAACAGCTGAAGCATCACGGTCACAAACCCTTTAAACTCCTCAAGATAGTTGACTAACAGGTTTGGGGCCTATGCATGCGGGTGAGAAACTGCAGTTATAGGTCGAAATCTCTGTCCAGACGAGGCCACTATCTGTAAGGTTGTTTTGTTTTAAGGTTGATTTCTCTACTAATCGAGAAGCAGACAAGTCTCACAGGCCTCAAGTGACTCTCATTAGCCGACGTAGCAAGACAAGTTCCCACGTTACCATTCAAGCCAGATCCAGCTTCTTCTGAGTCTCTGACAGTTTCTCTTGCAGCCGTTTCTTCCTCCAGTCCAGAAACTTCCTCCGCATCCTGTTCGCCTGCCAGCCCGCCAGGAAGCCGGCAGCGAACGAAACCACGACCGCGACCTGTAGTGTCCTCTCCGAGACTTCTGCCATGTTCACCTCTGGCTGACAGATGCACACATTTGTGTAAGCCGCATGAAAATCATTGGTACGCTCATACAGGAAGTGAACGGTTTCTAATCCCGCGATACTAAAGCAGCGCGTTAATCTCGCACTCTTCAAAATAAAGGTCCGAAACCCTCTTGAGGTTCCATTGTTAAAATATATAATGAACATGTATATATACTACTGATAATAATAATAAGAAGAAGAATAAGAATAAGAATGAGGCCAGACTTCATTAAACAAGGAGTTTTATTTTGTCTGAAAAAAGTCTGCTTTAAAAACATTATATTAATAAGAAAAGGAAGGTCATTAGGGAGCCAAATTTGATGATAAAAATGTGTGTACATTTCTAGTTGGGGAAATAGCTCCTGTGCAACAAAACTGCCACATTTCCTGTAAATCATTTAAATCAATGTATCACACTGAAAATTGGAAAATAAAAGGTGAAATTTTAACTCACTAGGGCTCAGGACAGGCATGAAATACAGAATTCATACATAGCCATACATGCTGTACTCACATAAGTCTGTGGCACACTGACTTTAACAAAGTTAAGCAAAACACACAGAACGCAAAAGATTAAAGTGAGTAACAAGTACTGTACAGTCAGATCAAAAAAAGCATTGTGTTTAGCCACACGTTGTATGAGTTTGTCATATAAGCTACTACATGTGATTGATCATTAATGTGTTTACAAATTGTTTGTACAATTTTTATATGTCAAAACTGTATTTGGTTGCTGCAAAAAACTGTTATTATTAATGCTCAAGACATGTTACTTAATCACTTTTCACAGTTTGGAAAGGAAATACTGCTTAATCAATAGGCAGAACAAAACATGACTCAGAGGCATTTATAATAAAAATGACTGAAGAGGTATTGCATGAGAGGAATGTAAACTGTAGCTTTATCTAGAAAAGATAGTGATTAACTGTATGAGGAGAGTGTAAGTGTTATGGTCGTAGTGACAGTAATGGTTTCCGTGAGCACCAAGTTGTATGAGTTTGCTACAAGTTGCTTTCACTCACACCACTTATGAAACCCCAAGTAAAACAGAAGCCTCATCAGGTAGGTTGCAAAGTGGCCTGCTTTTCAGTACTGACATTTTAAAACCAGTGAGTGTCACATGATAGACAATTCATGAGAGCACAGTGAAAAGCCCCAGCGTCTTTCTTTCCTGTCATTATGTGCGCTGTGTGATTATATGCACCTCTGAATGGTAGAATCGGTTGCACTGTTTTGCTGGGCTGTGGTTTGTGGTAGAAATGTTCATGTTAGCAAATTACCTTGTTTCACAACAGCATTAGAAATTAAAAAAAAAAGAAAAATGTATTTATTTATTTATTCTTATTCTAATGCTGTTTTTCATGTTGATGTTGTTTTAATATTGACCATGAAACTAAACAGAATTGATTAGAAAAAGTGAATATCTCATCCTTGGGTCAGGATTTTCCCACTTATATTAAGATTAATTCCTTTAATTTGACTCACACTAGCTACTGGTCAAACGATTTCAAATAAATAAAAAGATTTCAATACTTGCTGAAGAGTGTCCAAGATCAGTCATTAGTTACAGTTTGTGTGTAGGAGTGATACCCGGGTTAATGTTATCACCACTTTACAACAAAACTTACTAACAAAAGAATATTTTAAAAGTGCAGCAGCATTGTGCCGTAACCAAAGACTTGTTTAAGTTTAAATATGATATCGAGGTAAAGCACCATACAAGATTTTTAGGTTCCCTGTCTCTGTGGGTCTTTGGAGGTGTTGATACGGCATCCGCGATTAAGATCTGCACAAATAACAGTAAGTTGTGTGCAGACTGCAGAGTGGACGTCAATACAGGTCAAAGGTTTCGATATACAGTAGCTGCCATCTGCGTGGAGCTGAACTATTTACAACCTAAAGCCATTCAGATACCCAGTAAACAATGATGGAAATGAAATAATTGCTTCAACTGTAAATAGTCTTAATATGTATAGTCAACACGTCCAATTTCTGTCAACAAAATGTGGTTGCAGATGCAGTAAAAGCCAACAAGTGATCCCAAGGCATTCACGATGTATTGCTGATGGTGGAGAAAGTTTGAGAGAATCAGCAGTGGTACAGTTTTAGTGAAAGGTGATCAGCAAGTCACAACCGATTCTGTTTAAGCCTGTCGATGTGGTAACAGAGTTTAAGTGCAGGGCCCAGCTTCAGTCCCAGATACTTCATCATCATCTCGCTTTTCAACAAGAGCAGAGCGTCTCCGTCTATCTCCTGAAACACATCACAGAACCATGTGACTAATAGCATCTAAAATATGACACATTTTTCACCTGTTTATGTGGTTAACTTTATGGATAGAGTAATAAACAATGCTTTAAATTCTGCACCTGTATCATCACTGCAAGAAATAATAAATAAAATATTGTACCAACAAAAAGCTACCATATAATAAAGTTGAAAACAGTGTCAAAATAACTAATAAGAAGGCATTAACAGCAAGTTTTATATATAAAATAAAGTTCCCTTTATTACCAACCCTATCCTGTGCTCAAGCTGTTTCATAGCCTTGCAGCTATCACGAGAAAATCCTGGTCACTTTAAATATTAAGTCCTGCCTGAGGAACAGAGGCAGCACAGTGGTTTATGGGGAGTTAAAAGGCTTCTAATATAGCTTGGGGCCAGACCTCACTATGCTTTAAAAATTCTGTTATAGTCTTCATTTAGTTTCCATATCTGCTGATCTTTATGTCTCATAACAGAGTTTTAAATTAAAGTGTACCCTACCTCTTGCAAGCAGTTTCCTGCCTTAATGCCCCAGTGCACACTGCGATGTAAAGCTGTGTTCCGATACATTTAGTAATTACAGTAAGAGTCAATGGCCATGGGCTACAAGGTAGTCTGGACTCACATGCTTCCTGAATGCATCAGCGTGGGGTCCCAGGGCTTGGGGATCAGCATCTTTGATGAACCAAATGACCTCCTCAACACCCCACCTGGATGGGTCCTTACCAGTAGGACGCTTGCACTCTCCAGAGTCTGGCATCGGACTGTATGCTAGGTGGCACAGGGGAACAGGTGGAGTGAAGATGCTAAAATGCTTAAACATAATGCATATCTAAATAAACAAATAAACAAAACACTGACAGTCTTATAATGTCACCTGACAAGTTCCACAGCAGAAAGGCTGAACTTTAAGGAACAGTCTGACATTTGGGGTAATTTGTTTATTCCCTTCCTTGCTGAGATTTAGATGAGAAGATCAATACTCTTATAAAGTGTGCTAAATATGAAGCTACAGCCAGGAGATAGTTAGCTTAGCTTTGCTTAGCATGAAGACTAGAAACAGAGGGAAACAACTCAGCTGACTCTGGTCATGGTCAACAAAAAAGAGTGCAGCAATTTGTTATGGGTTTTCCAGGTTAGTCGTTCTGCCACAGAAGTGTTTTTATTTAGGTGACTGATTGGCTCCAGTTGAAGTTGGGCGAAGCTAGGATGGAAATTACATGAGGTCACCCATGTCGACAGACCAATGAGAATGATAAAGTGTAAGCTATCACACTTTAATGGGTGCAACTAGAGACAGAGAGATCAAGCACCTGGATCCTGGAGCACCTTAATTTATCATATTGTTTCATGGTTATCTACTGTCTGAAGTGTTTGTAAAATATTTGATCAAGAGGAATGCCTTGTCTTTTACTGCGAACCAAATTTACCAATGGGTACAACTGAAGTAACCTGAACCTGGCCTGCTTTGTTTAACGCCGTCTGTGGTCTTCTGTTCTTAGTGAATGTACATCTGAATATAAAACACGGCCTCACCATTCCTGTTTCCTTCCTGGAAGCTTCCTGGGCTTGATGCTTGTCTGCACAAACCCATTGGGGTAGAGCAACTGCTGCCACGGTAACCATAGGAGTGCTTTGGTGGGTACTGTGACGTCATGACATTGAAGGCAGAATCACTGGGATCTACAGCGTAGCGCTTGGAGTCCACCGGTGGGTCACATAAGAAGTCATCAGGCATTGGCGTCTCTGCTGGAAGAGGAACGACAGGACGTGGCGTCATTAAAGCCAAGCCCATTTGGAAAATGCTGTCTTTTTAGGGTGGCAGTGTAGGTCTGTCTGGAACAGTTCAAACTTTTCCTTATCCTGTGAAATATATGGATTGGTGCAAAGGTTTGTACATGGTTCTCAGAGGATCCTCATGATTTTGGCAATTCTCTGAATATGTTGATACTTTGGTTTATGAATAAATACCTGCCAAACTAGTGACATTCAGCCTCAGTTGTTTATTTGCTTTATGTTGAGTGCTAATTAGCAAACATGCTAACACACTAAACAAACATGATTCATGAGGTAAACATTAGGCAATACATGCAGCAACATCATCATGTTAGCATTGTCTCTGTGACCATGTTCGGATGCTTAAATGAGCATTTAGCTCTGCCTCAAAGAGTGGCTGCAGACTCCAAAATAGACAATTTATTTAACATTTAACACTAAAATAACAGCTTTGGCAATATAATGTCAGCAGTTACATTTTTAATGTCCTTTACATAGTGAGTTAAATAAATACACAGGTATGCTGCTTGAAGCATCTTCAGCTTGTAACTGTATGGATGTGAAACAGCTGAAAGGTAGTCAGTAATTCCTTTGAATCTGCTTCCTTTGTGCCAACCGTTTTTCAGCTTGTCAATAATGTAGGTGCCTGCTGGTTATGCCAGAGCTGGGCAGTTATAGATTTACCAGATGACAGATTTATAAGACTGAAATACTCCACTGAGATGATTCTGAATTACCTCTACTTTGTGCTCACACAAAGGTCAAATGCATTGTATTGTATTCTGAAAAATCAATTATGTGATAAGATCTGCGCATGAGAGTTTGGAGGCTTACATATTGACACACACACACACACACACACACACACACACACACACACACACACACAAGTACAGAACCACCTTCATATAACACAATTAATGCTTAATATTTGAATATATAACAGTTTTCTTACATCTTTACATCCTAACACTTCAAATATTCTTTAAAAAGCAATGTAAATACATAAAAAAAGGAATGTAATAATAAATGTATGTAAAAAAATAAATAATAATAATATAACAAAATTATCAGTATTTGAAAGGGAATGTACCTTGCTTGGAGTATTCACCAAAAAATCCACAAAATACAAAGACTATTTTTAAAATGGTTCTCCATTTCACCAGACACATGATTTACATATGCGTTTGGGTGGCACCGCAGGGGGCTCACTGGTTTGTAGTATGTGTATATATATGTGTGTGTGTGTGTGTGTGCGCGCATGCCTTGCTTCTGTATGTCTACAGTCTGACATCAAACACTTTTCATGATTTGCAAGAACAAAGAGCAAAGCGCTGGTCCTTGACACATGAGATTCCCATTCCCACCTCAAATACACAAAAGACATCTTTAAATATTTGTTTATTCAGAGCAGGACAGGCCACAAGGGAAAAAAAGGAGAGAAAAAATGAAAGTGGGATATAAAGGATGGCTGTATTTTTTTTATGAATTAAAAATGTCTGATTTTCTCCAGAGCCGAGATGACGAAGGATTGAAAGTGAATAAAAGAGAAGATATAATTTTAAAGCATGTAAACATACACAATAAACCCACAAAAACTAGATCGCAGATGCACACTCAAGTGTAATGTTTTACATCTAAACGCATACATCGTCACAGAGAACAAGTCTTCTGTGTATTTAGAGAACAAAGAAGAAAGACGCCACACTCACACTTGCACAAACAGAAGCGTATAGTCTAGTACTGAACTGTAGTCACAGGCGATACAGAAACAAAAGAGAAGAAGGAAGGGTTCATTTCATACCACAAAAGTCACACCAAGTCAAGCTGTGAGTGTATAATACTTGTAAGGATATTAAGACCACCTTCCAACCACACTGAATGGCACCAGGTCTCAAGGCTTAAAAAAAACCATTAGACTTTGTAACTCAACCTTCTTGCTTCTCTAATATCATGTCCCCTCTGCTTTCTTACCATTACATTTCCTGATTTCACTCTGCACAGACCTGCTATCATTTATGATAGTATTACTAGACAGAAAAGGTGAAGATGATGAGTGTGTGTGTGTGTATGTGTGTGTGTGTCTGCATGAAGTTTTACCTGTTAGGACTTGTGGAGTGGCAGAGTGGGGGACAATAGCAGCATCCTGTGGGAGGGAGCCCATCTCAGGTTCTGGTGTGCTGCTGGGAGGAGAGTTAGCTAGTGGGGACATCACCATCCTGGGCTTCAGCTACACACACACACACACACACACACACACACACACACACACACACACACACACACACACACACACACACACACAGTGGTTTGTCAGTATAAAGAAAACATGTACAAGGATGCAAGGGATACACATCAGAAAACAAAATTGTTGGATTGATCAAAATTCTTAGATCTTTAGCACAACAAATGTGACTTTTGGCTGATAGGTGTCACCACAGTGGGCTGTGGTAGCAAATATAGCTGAGGCTAACAGGAATTTGGACATTAGCTTTAGACATATTCAGTCATCCACTTAAATGTGAGAAGGATGGAAATTTTAACCTGTTGGTGGCAATAGATGAAAAGTAAGGTAATCAAAAAAAATGTAGGTCGCTAAAACCAATTCCAATTCCAACAGTCCTCCCACTATAAATATTACTACCATACCAATTATAATAACCGTTGCCAATCCCATTACCAGTTGCCATTACCAATACCACGTTGATTTCCAATTCGAACATCCCAACGGCCCCGGTTTAATTCTGGTCAAGGACCTGTGTTGCATGTTAAAGCTTCTCTTTCCCAACATTTCCTGTCTATATCTAGACAGCAGGTTGCTTATATTATTATTATTATATTATACATGATCTCAAGAAATACCACTAATACTACCACTAACAATAATTACTGATGACAAAAGTAATACCAATACTAACATATTTATAGGTAGCAGCAATCGCAATGTGTGATGTATTGTGAATTGTGATATACCAATCATCAAAGGTACCTAGGTACAAGTGGCAATATGGAGCTATGTTTTGATGAGTGGGTCCCTGATTTGTTTGGATCTCATGCTCAACTAGCGCACATGAGGAAGCGCATATATGTGATATTCACAGTCCTACATTTTCCATGCTATTCCACAATTCCACTATTGGACAGTTGATGGTGGCATTATGCCAAAAAAATCTAGCAATGCACCAGCAAATGCACAGAAGAGGACTGCTAGCTATGTAAGCATGGATGTAAACAATGAAGGTTTTAATAAATTCATAAATTGCATTTGCAGACATTTTATGAGGCAGGAAACACATTTGTTCTGCCACAAGGAAACACCCCTTCTACACCCTTTATTGAGAAATCTGAATGTAAACATAACATTTATTTAAAAGTAAACCTAACAGGGACTGACTTACCTTAAAGCCAGGTTTCCTTCCTCTCTTTTTCGGGACCTTGATAGGCAACATAGGCTCAACGTAGTGACTCTGGAACTCAAGTTTACGGATAGGAGGCCGTCCTCTCTTCCTGCCAGGCACCTTACCCTGGGGCCCCGCTATAAACTGGGGGCCGAGAGTGGGGGTCTGCATCTCTGAGCCGGCAGACAGAGTACTCATCAGACCTGAGAGAGATTTTATTAAATGTAATTTCAAAGTACAGGAAGTGGACGCTTTAAACTGTATGCACCACTGCCTCCCTGGAGTGGAAACTTAGATGTACATGTGAGACTACCCCCCTCCCACACACACACACACACACACACACACACACACACACACACACACACACACACACACACACACACAGAGAAACTATAGGAAATAGTAGAAACAAAGCCACATAAAGATCTGTACTACTACACCCCTCCCCCTCTCCAACTGCAAAGATTGCAATAAATATCATTACAGCACAGAGACAAAGCCCCACACACACACACACACACACACACACACACACACACACACACGCGCATACAGGAAGTGAAAGCAAAGCACATATACCCACAACCCCCACATAATCAAACAATGAATCAAGTAGTGCACATTCACCCACAGATTCACACACACGCACCCACACAGTGATTACCATTATCAAGTGTTTTGTCTTGGTAACATTCGTCCACATGGCCATGACTTTCACAATACACCCCTCTCTCAATCAATTCCTTAATCATTTCATTCAAGCAACGCAATGGCTTACCTGACATGGCCTTTGAATATGAAGCTAAGTCCCTCTGATTGACTGTGCTTTTACAGAAGCTGATGTTCTACTAATTAGCTGTCATATACGTATTATTCTTTCATTTCTGAATAACAGTCAGAACTGGTCTTGACCGGCACAGAGAGTTACTGTACAGAATAAAATCCCCTTCCTGTGATGACAGTATTTGTCATAACAGACAGAGGAAAAACAGGAACAGAGACAGAAGAGATATGCGCGTGAATATGCGTGATGCCTTCCATCCCCTTCCTCTCAGAACCAAATCACATGAAAAAAAGCTCAAAAATTTGCACAAAAATTATCATTCTGAGCATTGCCTACCATGCACACAGCCGTCTGGTAATCGCTGTCTGTGTGATGCTTCACTCCAGCAGCAGGTTTCTGAATATGCCCCTGATGGATCTCCAGCAGTCTGCCTCTACTGATCTCTGCTGCTACACACTGTCAAGACACCGGCAACTCTGCGTGCGTCTCTCTCGCTCTCTCTCTCTCTCTTCCTCAATCTCCAACCACCTTCCTCCGAAACAACCCCCTCCTCCCCTTCCCTTCTACCCTAACCCCCTTCCTCTGTGTCCCCTTTCAGTCGTCATAGCAACACGCCTCTAACATCCCGCGGCAGCCGGCAGACCTGCTGAGCTCAAAACGATGTCTGTGTGCGCGTGTGTGCGTGTTTCTGTGTGTGTGTGGCTATGTGGGACTGTAATGTAATTACAGTTGCCGCAGCTCAGGGTTTTTCTTTTCTGTCTTCAAAAAAGGCTTAGAGCGGGTGACAAGGGATTGAAGCTGTGCCGTGTTTTGTGCTGCAAGCGTTCAGGTTACAAACTGTAATCTGTCCCCAATTTATTTATTCGAATGCAGTCCAAAAACTGGACCAAAATCCTAAAATCTGAAATCGTTTAATCACTCCTAAATGGTTGAACTTTTCTCATACCGACTGGCTTTCAGGTAAAGAGATCAATTTTTCTGTAAACATCAAAAGGTTCTAGCAGAAGCCCTTCAGGATTACTCTGCTGCTTTTGTTTGTGATGAAAGATCATCTTGCTGTCAAAGCTCACTGCCTTCCTTTTATTTATAGACTCTCTCTGCCTTTGTGTCAGCTCATGTATGCTGCTTTTGTTTTATCTATAATAAAAAATCTACACATGGAAAGAAAAAAGACCAGCCAAAGGCAAGGTTCTGTGTGTTTTACTCGCTGAGGTGCAGGTGTTATAAAAAAAAGCATGCTCCAGAGTGCTTATTTGTTTTTATTCGCTACAAGTGCGGAGTACAACTCAGGTTTTTCCGCTTCACCAACACAGCATCGATTATTTACGCCCAGGTTGCTATGCCGATTCCCGTCCGCGGTCAAAGAAGCCACACCGGTGGGTTTTAACACTCAATCAAAATCAGGTTAACCTTTCACAGGGAGGATCAAACGCCAGCATGCCCTCGCTTGCACGTACAGCCGCTGCCAGCGTGTAAAGAGATTTGTCAGGAGTCGGCTCTAAAGCAGTCGCTCACAAGCTGTTTTAACACTGAGTGTGACAGGCCAGACAAATTGCAGTATTTCATTACTTGAAGCTCATACATGATCATAAAAAAAAGACTATAAACAGCAAGGTCAGGACAATAAGGCTATGATACTGAGTGCTGGCACACGTTCACACACTTCATCACTGACCGTGATGTTAGGGGGGCCAGTGTGTGTGTGTGTGTGTATGTGTGTCGGAAGGAAGGGAACCATAAATCATAAAAGTAATTACGCAGTGAGATTAATCCTGATGTCCCTCCTCAATCAGTCCTGTCCCATAACAGTGCATCACATTACAGACAGAGACAGACTGAGAGAACAGATAATCATCTTTTACTTAAAAAGAATTGGATATGAGGTGGGGGGGTGGGCATTAACACTGGGAGACAAAATGAGACAACACCATTTTTTTGCAAGCAAGGGGAAAGATTTGCACCACTGCACCGCACCATAACACAATACATTTGGGACCGCAGCCTAATTTGTTTATGGCTAATTAGGCAATTAAGCGCTCAGTGAACCCCTACGCCCAATTTTATTTTCCGACTAAGGGATATTGTCTCCTTTTGGATGCTGGATGTTAGAAGGCGGCATTTAAAAAGCAGTCGGAGCCCACTGTTTTGGCCACAGTAATGCAGCAATGATCAGCAATGATTAGCATAACTTAATCGCCAGCTTCAGGGGATGGAGATTTGTATCTGTTTTCACTTATGCAGAGGGGAAACTGCAATGAAGTGAGTTATGCTAATGCCTCACTAAACTGCACACCTACACACATATAAACAATGTCTAAACGCTGTCTCACACACACACACACACACACACACACACACACACACACACATCAAAATGCATGCATAAAATGGCTGCATTTTAACTAGAAACAATATACCCTCGCCTGGCTGCAGAATAGATCATAGATGTTTGTTTGTGTGTGTGTGTGTGTGTGTGTGTGTGTGTGTGTGCTGTGTGTGCGTGTGTGTTTAATCAATGGAGCAGTGTAACAAACCCCCTGAATTTATTTACAGCTCAGGCAGGGCGTCACCATGGTAACAGACAGTGAAATCGGATCCTGCACCAGAGTCATGTGATAAGGTGGGAATAAATAAACGCATAAACAACAATGTGTGTATTAAGAAGGGACGCTCAAATGCGCTCACACACACACATATACACACACACACACACAGCCCTTCCTTATCTCTACTGAGCCCCTTCATAACACAGCACACTCCAGAAGACAGGGAAGGTGAAGAGTGTTGCTCTTTTCATTAGTGATGGTCAGGGGGGGAAAATGGGAACATTTGATAAATCACATCACACTCACACACACACACACATATAGATAGACTACACACATTTAAAATTGACATCTTGAGTTGCTCTATTTCACCCTGATGATGTTAAATAGTGGTGCAAAGTAATTAAGCACATTTACTTAAGTAGTGTATGGTTTAGCTTTTAGGTATTTGTATTTTACTTAAAGGAACCAGGGGGTAGGATTTAGTGGCATCTGCCTGTGTAGTTGCTGATTACAACTCCCTTGCCTCACTCACCCATTCCAAGTATGTAGGGGCTGCGAAACTCATATATATATATATATATATATATATTCCATTTCTGCCAATAGATCCTCCTAGATGTTACACACTGGACTTTTAAGAATCAACTCTTACTTTGTGCGCAGGTGTCAGGGGCCCGGCTCCTCAGTCTCTGCCCAACTGGCTCTGACCCCGCCTCCAAGTCCACCAGCTGCCAGCAGCCCGGACCCCGGTCGTCACGGCGATCCAAACGCAGACGAAGGCGTACACCCTTGCTGAGGACACCAGGTAACCAGACAACAGGAGCAGGAGGGGCCAGTTCCAGGTGGGAGTCAGGGTTGAAATCTCGCCCTCCTCGCAGTCTCATGCCCTCGCAGCACACCAAGGGAAGGTGAGATACATCACACTGGAGAAACAAGAAGAAAACACTCAAAGACAACTGTATTCATCAAATAATTTATCTGAGGCAAAGAGCATGTTGGACAGGTCCATAGGGCTGCTGTCAAATGTGAACATATTCACAGTTCATCTTTTAATCAATCTGAATTCTATTAGTCACCCTTTGCTTATGATAAAGTGCTCCAATATTTCATTTCCCAACATTAATCGTGTCCTTTACAAATTAATTTCAGACCTTTCAATCCTCACAAAAAATGAATTTGGAACAGCATAAAGCAGGCAGGCTGAAGGAAAGATGGGAGATGGAAAAGGGGGAGACAGGAAGAGTGGCAGGAGCATTAAAAGAGAAGAAAGAAATCGGGGGAGGCGGTTGTGTAATTACCAGTGTGTGTTCAAAGGTCAAAGAAATAAACTGGTGGCTAATGGGAGAATATGGCTTTGCTAATGATAAAAGTATTGGGGACAATGTGTCTATTGTGTTGTAAAGGGAATGCAATTTGGCCTCCAGAGTGCTGGATTTACTGATTACTTAAACCAACTAAGCTTTCAGTCTCCTCTGTATTGGATGGAACAAAGGCGGGTGAAGAGGGGAAAGAGGGAAGCTGTGAAACTTGTTAGAGCTGATGGAAATGCTCACATTATCACCCCATTACCCTATTCTAGATCTTATTTTCTGTTTGGTGGTTGTTAGTCCTGCAGTAATTACAGTTGAGAGTTTACCCAAGGTTTTATTTACCACTGCTGGTTTAGGGGAAATAATGTGCGCAATTTTATAGGCCTATTTTGCTTACATGGAGGATAGATTATGGATTGAGCCGTTAGACAACATGAGTTCTACAGCATTCTGTCTCATAAAAAAAAATATTTTTTAATTTACAGCCATAGCTTTAAACCAAAGCTTGTGTCCAAAAATTGGTGGATTATCAGCTGATACAATCTGACAGGGATGGAAGGAGTGCCATAGTGTCATAAAATTGACAAAATCACTTCACTTATAATGTAATTAGATATGAGGCTGAAATAAACACGCCATAGATGATAGAAGGTGGATCCCTTTAATTACAATGAAATAATACCAGTGAATTAAATAAAAGGGAAAACCGCTGGGGAATGTTTTACTGCATTAAAGCAATATTTTACTAATATGATATGCACTGTATCATTGTATTTTACATTATACTAATGTCAATGTAAATCGATGATTAAAAACTAGACTAAGAGTCTGTACTTTGGCACAGTGGTGTTTTGAGTCAAATGCTAACATCAGCATGCAAACATGCTCATAATGACGGTACTGACATGCGGATGTTTAGATCCGCAGGTAGAATGTTTAATAAGTTAACCACCATAGTTTATTGTTAATATTCCCATCAGCCTCTGCTTTAATATCTTTACGAAGGGCATCACCAAAGTCAGTAGGATTCATCATCTGGGAACAATGAATGTTTAAACCAAATTTCATGGCAATTCATCCCAATGTTGTCCAGACATTTCACTAAAATCCCCCCCAAAAAAGTCAACCTCATGGCACAAGAGCAAAAGTCAGGGATTGTTGGAAGACTAACAAAGGTGGCTTTGGTGAGTTTTATTTTGTTTTTTCCGCATTTGATGAAGTTACAACGACTGACTAACATAGATGGTTTTGGTGAATTTTATTTTGTGTGTTTTACGATTAACTGGCCAAATTACTGGTTTTGCCAGTGCAGTCTGTTGGGCCGTAGCGCCCATTGTTGCGGTCTGAGATTGCTGGTGCTCTAGTGCGACATCCAGTGGCCAGTGAATTTCGCATATATAACCTGTAAAGAGACGTGACAACTGAGAGATGATTAGAAAAATGGACAAGGGAATGAGGAGAGACGATAAAAGATGACAAACAAAGAATATTTAAATGAAGAACTTTTGAATAATACGCAGATTTAATACATTCTAATGTTTTAGCAGTACCTTTAATAAAATTAACAAAAACACACATCGATTAAAACAGTAGTAGAGAAGATAAAACATTTTTCAGAGCTGGCTTGTCAGATTCAATCATCAAAACATCTGCCCTCAACTCTAATATTTCATATTTACCAAAAAAAAAAACATCAAACAGTGATGCTAAAAAACATGAAAGAAGATGGTTCTTCACAAACATACACACACACACACACACACACACACACACACACACACACACAAACACAGAGCTGCTATCTGTAGCACCGTGAAACAACCGGAATAAAAAAAGTTAGATTTGATGAAACCGAGTGCAACCCATAGAGCACGCACATACAGACACACACACACACACACACACACACACACACACACACACACACACACACACACACACACACACACACACACACACACACACACACACACACACACACACACACACACACACACACACACACACACACACAGGGGAATACTTCTGAAAGGCTCTGCATCCCATGAGAGCAGAAAACTACTTTATCTTGCCACTCTACCAAAACACTTGTGGCTTGAAGCCTTGCCAGGAGTATAGCTTGTTGGAGAGATTCTTTAACAAAATCAAACATGAACGAATACACACACACACACACACACACACACACACACAGGCAGCTACTTTTCATTCCCGTAAGCTGCGGAAGACAGAAGTAGTGATGGAGAAAGTGGATTGCGAGAAACTCAGTGGCTGTTTTCACAGAAGGATGTGATTTAAAGGGACAGTTCATCCTAAAATCTAAAATACATATTTTTCCTCTTACCTGTCTTGCTATTTATCTATCTAGACTGTTTTGGTGTGAGTTGCCTAGTTTTGGGGATATAGAGATGCTTTCTATCAAATATAATAGAACTAGTACTGCTCACAAGGTCTGTGGATTATCTTGATTAACCAGGTCGTAAGTTCTGGAAAGCTGTTGAGTGTTTATGATGTACTGCAGGTAAGAGGAAAGATTGATTTTGGGGTGAACTGCCTCTTTAACTCAAATGATTATTATGGAAGTTTAGTATATAAAACAGTTCAGTTCTGCTGAACACTTAGCAGCAGATGACAAATATATTTTGTGCAATGCAGAACAAAAAGCCAATGACCATTATATTACATTTGTAAATAATAGATTGATAGATTTACTGGTGACATTAGTTATGTGTTCAATTAACACTTTCATGTCTACATTTTCATTTGTCTCCAGTTTCTGTTCTTTTTGTCTGATCATCAGATCAAAACTGAAAAATATTCAATTAATACTCAAAGCTGACTTAAAAGTAACAGGAAATGCTCCCATTCATTTTAGAAGTTGCAGGCAGTGAATGTTTGGTATTTTTTGTTTAAAACAAGACTTAAACGATTAATTATCAAAATGATTGTAGACTAATTTGTTGCCAATTACCTGATTACAACTGGTAAGTCATATATTCAGTCTGTAACATATTCTGTTACTGTAAATTAGACTGCCTGCATTTATTACATTGCTACATCTACAAAAAAAGAAGAAAAATGAATAAACCCCACTTAGACATAGAACACAGAGCGATGTGGTGTTTCACCCTCTATTACAGTCCCAGTCCCAGGATGGTGTTACTTTTCCTTCCACCTTACTCTCCATTCCTCAAGGCCACAGAGGAATTGTTTTCCTCATGGAGGTGGAAAGTTTATGACCACCGGCCACATGATCAAACGTCCCTCTTGGACACAATGAATGCTAGATGTCTGGACATAAGACACACTAAGATTGCCAGGGATGGATCAGACATGCAAAACGTTTTTTTCCCAAGGAGAACCGCAAAGGAGGACATAAGGTGTGCTGTGCACAAATGCAGAAGACAGGGTTGACTGACACTGTTGTATACAGAACCAAGTGCTGAATATGTATAGTGGAATTACTTTAGTTTCATCTTGCACACTTGGAATTATGCAAAGTTCACATTTCTGATTCATTTATGAGGTAGCACGGTCTATGCAATAAAGAAGTTCCTTTTATTTATGTTTGTTTTGTTTATGCACTATGACTATAGTGATACATATTGCAACGCTACGTTATACTGTTGGGAGACAAATATTGATTCTGAGATGTGTCTGAAGTGTTTTGGCTGCAATAGAGAACTGTAACTGAGTAATCATTTCAGCTCTATCTGGGTTAAACAAAAGCAAATTGCAGTCAAATTTGGCAGACTATAGACAAAATTGAATCTGCTGTCTGCCAGAATGTAAGAATGCAAATGTGCCTTGTACCTTATATTTGGGGGGTCAAAAGTGAACCTGGCATCCAGTCACACAGCTGTTTATGAGAGTGTAGCTGCTTTCTCATTATGAACACTGACCTTCATCTGAGCAATGCCATTCTTGTATGTTAGGTGTGAAAGCCTCTTCACTTTGTTTCATACAGCGACTGTGAACGGACCAACAACGCGCCAACCCGGAACCATTTCCCTCCGCAATTCAGCGCTGACCATCTTTTCTTTATTAAAAAGCTTTCTCAAACATTGCCTTACAAGGGGAGAGAGGCTCAAAACAAACTGTGGAATGTCCTTGTGGTTGTGTCATAACAGCAACAACTGTAGGCTACTCTGCAATTCTTGTCTTTCCAAAAGAGTGCAGTACTTTATTCACAATATGTAATTAAGTGGATAGATTTGGTGAGGGTTGCCACCCAGCATTTATAAGCCAGGAATCAAACCTATTCAATCACAGTCACACCTGCGTTTATTGAATATGTTTGCCTCATGGACTATTTCTTTGAGTGGAAATCAGTGGTGGAATTTAACTACATTTACTCAAGTACTACACTTAAATACAAATCTGAGGTACTTGGACTTTAATCTCATGCTACTTTATTATAACTTTTACTTCCCTACATTTATTTGAAAGCTTTAGCTACTATGCTTAACAAATTAAGATTTTTGATTCATGAAAATGTGTAAATGAGTACAACTGAAACAATTAGCCGACTTATCAGAATGACAGAAAATTAATCTTTAACTATTTTGATACTCATTTAGTGATTTTTAAAGAAAAAACATGGCTTCTCAGATGTGAAGACCTGATGCTTCTCATTGTATTTCAATAATTTGAGTTTATTTTTAATTTTATGTTTAATTTTAATTGAATGACTATTGGTTGGACAAACCAAACAATCAGTTGGTTAATCCATAAGGAGAATAATCATTAGTTGCAGTCTTATACAAAATAGTTAATTAGTTAGCTCCTCCTCAACCAACTAAGAGTATTAGTCATAATAATCTTTAATTATATAATATTGCAATAGTATAACATTGAGCGCTTTTACTTTTAATACTTTAAGTACATTTTCCTGATTATACTTACATACTTTGACATATGAAACATTTTCAATGCAGGAAGTTGTACAGGTGGAACTGCAGTCTCGCGCAAAGTGCAACTTTATTTAAACATTTATTTTCACTGGGCATATTTAGAAGTGTATTTAGTGGTATTTACTATTTGCATGTTTTCCCTACATTTAATTAAAAAAATATTTTACTAACAAACACACACACACACACACACACACACACTACCACTGCATGTTTGCATTGTGGCATCAAGCAAATTTTACGTGGTTTTAGGAGGATCAACAGTTAACTGTCAGTATTCAAATTTAAGGCAGCACCCATGCAAAACAAGAGGAAAGAAAAAGTGTGTGTGATGTTGCCAGTAACACTACAGATGGATACAGGGAGGTCAATCATCCTTGTCTCTAAACAACTTACTTGTGTGCATAAAGAACTTTCATGCAGCCCATTTTTGTGTGTCATGACAAAAAAATGGATTTTTGATAAATAATTAAATAACGCCCTACCATCAAAGTAAAAAAAAGATATTGTGTATTATAAAGAAAAGATGGGTTCAGTGTTATCTTTATCATTTCTAGTGGACAATGCATCAAGTCCTCTAACAGGAACATACAAGTCTGAAGTGCATCATGACATTAATTAATTAATTAATTTGGAAGCATATGGCCTCTATAATTATCTCTACAGACACACAGGGACTGAAGGGAGTTTATTGTGACCTTGTTGTAGGCTACAGAGTAGTCACAGTCTCATATTAATAGTCATTCGTGTGCTCTATGTACAACAATATAACAAAAAAGAGCCTATGGTATCTTTACCTATCTCGATGGGGTCGATTCAACGGCGGGAATCCATTTCTCCACAGCAGGCTGGCTGCGTACGGACTCCGAGCCGGTGCGTGGAGCAGCGGGAGGCGGCAGAAGCACCGGGGAACTCTCGGCTCGGGTCAGTCCGGGTTCCACCCCTGCAGCTGCGGCAGGGAAGCGAGCGAGTACCGCGGGCTGGTCTGGAGTCTGCCGGCGGGAAGCGAAGCTGCAGTGTGACCTTCCCAACGCCGTCCGGAGATTGTGACAGGAGTTGTAACGTCTACTTCAAGGGCGCAAGTTAGGTGGTGGTGGTAGGAGGATATGTGGGACTGAGTCGTTAATATATGGGGCTGTTGTTGAGGATCATTTCCTTATCTGGCTTTAAAGCAGCATCTCATTTACCTGCAGTGGTTCAGGAGACAGACAGGGAGAGGCAGCAGCACCCTAAATAAACTGAAGAGGTTCATCCCCCCCCCCCCTTTTTTTTTTTGATAACACAAAAACACTCCTTGATACACATGGAGTGTGTGTTTTGAGTTGAAGCCAAACTTAAAAATGAACAGAAATGATTAGAATGATGTCTATATTCTTACTGCCAGTTTATGTGCACCATAATTAAGATATTTAGATGGTTAACATCAAGGTTTATTTCACACATATGCTAATTGTGTCATTTCACTCCATTAGCCTAAATTCACACATGCGTTTGTCCAGTCTTGTAAAGGTACTAAGGTAATAAGTAAGTGAAGAGATATGAGCCCTGATTTGCAAACATTACTGAAGGGGAATCCCCACACCTGCAGATGTTGAGGAAACTGGTCATTTTGTTGGGCCCCTACAGGAATGTGCACCCTGTGAGCACGATAAAGGTGAGTCATTAATATGCTAGATACATTTTGAGACTGGGTAATATTGCAGAACTCACCTCAGTTGATATTAGGAATTAGTTAAATTACCAAACATGCACTCAAGCATTATGGGAACCCTGGACTTGCTGGTGTCTATCAGTGTCTACGGCTCTAGTTGCCTCTAGATGCCACTAAATCCTCCACACTGGAACCATTCACACTGATACATAGAACTTATTGATTACAGGAAAATACACCCAGCAAGCATCTTCTCAGCACACCTGGCATTCAGTTTCCAGGTACATTAAAGGCCTGTCATCAGCTACCTATGGTACACAGGGCAAAACAATGACACCATCTCATTTAAAAGTTTTTATTTGAAATGATTTTAAATACAAATAATATATTTTTCCATTTACAATGACAGTTCCTTTGTAAACAAAAGTGGCAGATAGATAGTCATTGGGTAGTTTGTCCAAACTGAGGCGGCCTGCCGGCCAATCGCCTGGACATGGTCTGTCATGGGAGAGATGGTGTCGTATTTAACCTCACTGCAGTTTTTTTTTTTTCCACACAGCGTAAATCACTGATGCTACATTCTATTGCAGAGCGATAAATACTCAGAGTACAATATTACCTGTTAGCATACACCTGCCTTGAACACAATTACAGGAGGGTAGAGTGCACGTGTGACAGTTTGTGTGAGTGTGTGTATGTGGTGATCGGGAGAGCGTGCCCACAGATATTCATACTTTTATCTCTCCCACACCAACACGACACACTGGTATATACCATTAAAATGAACTGTTGAGTGTGGATATTTATGGTGAAGGCTGAGTCATTTCTTTTAAAAACTGCCAAGTCGTCAACATACACTGAGAGCCCGCAGAACTACACAAGGAAGCTCTGATTTTCTTTAGTTTTTTTTTTTTTGCACTCATGAGTCTAACAGATGTAAAAACGAAAAGTTAGAATGGAACAAAACAGACAAAGACGTATGTGTTACATTTGTTATAACTACAGTTTAACTGGGACAAAGAAACCCAACTAATTTTAAATGAAAGGGGGTTCTCTTGGTTGGCCAGAACTGCTCTGTGTTCCTCCGTAAGAACAAAAACAAAAAAAATCCTCCAGATTTGATGGAACAAAACAACACTTTCCATCTGAAATGGCAGTTGTACTTACAAAACTAAGCTTGTTCTGCTTTAATGACTAAGAAAAAGAAAAAGTGCTGGACAGAATATGCTTAGTCTTACACAGAAAAGTTACTTTCAACAGCTTTTTGTTCGAGACACTTTTCAGGACATGAGTGCTGTGTGTCCAGGACCTCATACTCCAATCCCTTTAACACAGGGCCAGTCACATGTCACATACAACTGCTAATCCTTTTTCAGCATACAGAACCGTACTTCTTAGAGGCTTTTTCATGACAAAATCAGTGATATGTGTTCCAAGACTATAGGTTACTATGAAGAGACTAACTCTAAACTGAAACAAAAGAAAAACACTGTAGATTTTTTACAAACAAAATAAACCTTTTTTTTCCTGCTCTCCCAAGAACTACTAGTGCATAGCACCCAAGGACTTGTATGTTGTGTTATTTCAGTTGTATTCGTAAGGCCTTTTTGGACAGTAAGTATACACTGGAATGTGCTACAATTGTAAAACTAAAAAACAAAAAAAAGGATGAAGAGAAAGGAAGTCACTTCTCTGAAAAGCCACAAGTATGTATATATCTATTTATATATCAGTATCTGAGCCCCTTAAAAAGACTGAAAACGCACAACTTTATGTAGTATATGGACAAGAAAAGTACTCGTAGTTCAAACAAATCTTAACACTGCAAATTTTGTCATTTTCCCCCATTATACTTGAGGTCATAATTCATTTCAAAATCCACCTGCTTTCAACCGACAGTTGTCTCATTCAGAAAAACACAGCTCGACGTGGACCACGGGAAGAACAGAACATCATGAACAGAACCGACTTGAGATCATCTGTAGACGTCTCCTTCAACATACAGTGAGTACAGGTACATACAAGTGACTGGCTGGTGTGACAGCAGAAAAACAGGACAAAAAAAACAAACCTGACGAGACTCAACTGTGCCCCCATGCGGCGTGCGCTGAAAAGGAGCAAACGTCCCACTTCTTGACTCGGATGTGATCCCCCGGTGAACAGGGCTGAAGCTCACACTTCTGCAGTTTTCAGTGTAAAATAGAAAGTATCATTGGTGCGGAAAACATTGGTGCCTGGGTGGTTTTAAAATTTGGAGCGTGAGCGATGTCATGATTTCCAATACAGGAGGTCACGTGGGGTGGGGGGGGTGGGTTGTTAATTTCGCAAAGGGAATTAGCTGTTATACATCCACCTCTCCCCCTCAAGAAAAGAAGAAGAAGAGCCCAGATAATAGGTCCTCCAGTCCACAGTGTGTCAATCTTTCATACCTATACAAACACATACAAGGTTACAAACACGCACACCATTTGCCCACACACGCACACTCCCACATGCACATCCACTCACACACACGGGCCTGGATAAGTATTCACAGAATTCTCTTCCGCCAGCAACGGAAAGTGAATGAACAAGTCTCTGTAGAAAAGAGGAATGAAGGGGCGGGGTCACAGTCCATGTCATTGTAGAGATAAAATGGAGGACGAAGGGGAGGAGGGCTCTCTGTGTGTATAAACTGTCCCTGGTGATTCTGTGTGTGTTTTGTGTGTGTGTGTGTTTGTGTGGTGGGCACAGCGTTGCTGCTCCTCGTTCACTGCTCTTGAGCGCTGTTGTGGGGTCAGGAGTGGGTGGGTGGCCAGTCCATTGGTGGAGGGCGGTGGCTGAGTGAGTGTGTGTGTGTGTGTGTGTGTGTGTGTGTGTGTGTGTGTGTGTGTGTGTGTGTGTGTGTGTGTGTGTGTGCGTATCCGCATTTAATCGTTGTCCTCGTCGTCATCTTCACTCTCCTCGATGCCATCGCTGTCCTCCTGCTCCTCGTCCTCCTCTTCTGTGTCGGGGATGTCCCACTGTGGGTGGTTGTCCAGCATGGCCTTGGCCTCGTGGACCTCCAGCTGGGAAAACACAACATTTATTTTTAAGCTTTAACAAATGGAACCATTGTAAAGCAGGAGTCAAATTCCTTTAAAGAAAACTGTGCAGCACTTTGTTGCTTCTTATGTGTATTATTCGGTTCTCTGGTGCTGCTGAGTAATAACAGATTATGAGCATTATTTGTCAAGACTGCGACACCAAGTCATCTTATGAATAATGAATGACCGGCTAGAAAAGAAGCAGGAGAAAAAGAGGCGATGTGTGGAGAGATTTTTACTGTTTACTCAGACCCTTTTCAGGTGGTTCAGTTTTGTTTGGATTGACAGCTTTCTGACCAGTGTAAACGAACCAAACTACATAGAAAATCAGAGTTCAACTGAACCAAACACAGAAGAGTTGATGAAACAGAGGCTATAAGAAAAGTGCTTTTGCTGCCATCTAGTACTTGACATGGACAAGTCCAACAGTAACGTAGCACTAAATTAAACACGGTTGAGTGTGATAAGTAGAGTGCCAGACTTCAAACCTTTTACTCAAAGAGGTTAGAGGTGTAACAATAGTTTAATGCCACTAAAAAATCTATTTTGTGTTTTATTTCTAGATAGAATGACTTATTTCAGCTGTCTTACAAATAAAGCATTGTTTTATAAATCTAATTTACACTGAATGGAAATCTAATATTAAATTGCAAACTGAATGTGCAACAGAGAGCATGTACAGTCACTTTGTCTAAATTAATTGAACAAATTGATTTATTACTAATTGAAATAAGAAAACCAGATGAGCAAGAGCAGCCCATCATGAGAAAGATCAATTCAAAATCAATGTTACAACCTGTTGCTATTCTAAAAGTCTCACTACCTTCATCTCAGCACTGGACCTGCATAATGTTATATACTGTGCTTCAAACCCCTTAAAAATAGCATTAAAGATACAGTATTTTAAGAAAAAGGATCTCTGATACAAATGTTTTGACCAATTGCATGTGCACTCTAGCTTAGAGTGTCTATCAGGTATTAGAATGAAAAAAAAAAAAAAATTCATGCTCTGTTTGTAACAGATCCCCTTATTCCCAACACCTTAGCAGCAATTAACACCATTGTTCAGCGAGCTACTGGTACATGTTGGCTGTGAATGGTGGGTGTATTATCTCAGCTCTGCAAACCGTTCTGGCTAGTGGCAAGCATCCTCCAAGCAAATATCACACACTCACACACTCTCACACACACTCACACACTCTCACACACACACTCTCTCACACACACACACTCACACACACACACACACACACACACACACACACACACACACACACACACACACACACACACACACACACACACACTTTCTTGTTACCTTGAGTGGTTTTATCTGGTCCAGTCCCAGGTAGGAATCAGAGCGGAGGATGACAGAATATTGGTAGTTGCCCGTTTTGGAGGGCGCTGGAAATTTCAGCTCCACCTGGGAAACAACACACACACAAACACAAAAACACACACAAACACAAAAACACACACAGCTGTCAAATCCAATCACAGGAGCACTCACAGGGCATGATTGCTTGATGTATTAAGTGTAGTGTTACAGTAAAGCCTGTGACAAGGCTACTTGTGGCTGAATTACTACTGTTCATGTCGAAATAAAATTGCCACCACATGAAGAAACAAGGTGACTGTCATCTGCAGTTAAGAGCAGAAACACTAATAGAGTCAACAGAAGGAGGCAAACCTGTAAAGGACTAACACTGCTGAATATTACAAATCCAATCCGCTGTTACTGATGGCCCACAATCATCTCCAGGGGGACACAATGCGGTAGGTAATCACAAATGAACCACCAACATGATGATGGGGTCCAACTGTAAATATTAGACCAGCATTACCTCAGGCTGTGACTGCTATGTCGTGCAATTACATATGGCAAACATCTAATTATCAGCACAATGAAGCTAATTATTATTCAGTGTGTGAGCGGAGAATGAGCTGTGAACACAGCTGCAATTTGCTGCCCTGCCTTGTTGATGAAAGCAGCCCCACTGCCCTCCCCGAAAGCACGTCTGTCAAACACGCAGCGTACACACAGTCACACACACCACAAACAACAGAAGGAACTGTTCAAGTGACAGACTAATTGATTGCCAGACAGGGAACCGTTACGCATGGGCGGGTCACCTCTCGCCATTACATTCCATCAGAGTGGGAACGGCTGGTCGTGCAGACTTACACAGGCCTCATTAAGCTTTTACCTCGCCACCGTCCTTATCGTTGCTGGAGAACACACGTGTATCAGACGTGTAAATCGCGCAAAATAAACACACACCCACAACCACGCACACACTCCTCTGAGGAAATAATGACACAAGTGCAAAGGGTTGCCTAGCAACAGAATGTGTGAGGGGCTACGGCGCACAGCAAACAAGAAACGTTACCACACACTTTAACTTATTAAGACCTTTCTACACCAGACGGATTATAGCATAAGCCACAATATAACCCCCAAAGCATTTTAATATAACACACACCCAAACACACAGAACTGACTTTATAATGCTGCATATTGCAATGCAACGACTAAATGAGCACTGAAATGAGAGCTAATATAAAATATGATCTCTTATGCTATTTTCTTTATTAAAAAATAAATAAAAACACAAATGCGGTCATCTCCAGAACTCACCTCTTCTGTGTCTTTTAGTGTGCAGACGTGGTAGGGCATGGAGACGAGGGTCTGATCTCGGCGGTCTGCGATGTAGAGCCACCACCATTCCTGCTTCTCCTCGGGGAAGTAGAGGCTGTAGACGGGGTGCGTCACCTTCGACTTGGTCTCTAGCAGGGCCCGCTCTCGCCGCTGGATGCTCTGCTGCAACGCCTCCCACTCCTGAATAGGGGGAGGCAGGTGTGGAGAGAGGAGAGTTGAGTTAGGTGCATGTACAAACAGTGTTTTCTCAAAAGTCTTCTCATCGGAAATGAAAACTGATGCTGAAGTTCTCTGACCTCTTCATCGTCACCGGCCATCTCGTCCACCTCTGTGTCGCTTTGTTTGTCGCTGTCTTCGTCTCTCTCGCTGGGAGAGTCCTTGTTGGCTTCGCCCTCGTCCGACTCGCTGCCCTTGTCCGAGGCCTCGTCCTCTTCCTCCTTCACTGCTGCTGCTGCTGATGCTGCTACAACTTCCTGCGACAGCAGCATTGATAACAATAATATATTATGTAAGCAGCATATTGTTTTATTATAGGACAAAATGATGCAGTTAAATGGGTATAAAATCACTGAGCAGCTTTCATTGTGCTGTGATTGGACACGTACATTTCCTGCTACATTGCCATTGGCTTGCTTGGTTTTGGCAGGTGCAGGAGTGGCCTTCTTCTTGGTTAATTTTTTCTTCTTGGACTTGGCTGTCTTCTTAGCCCCTTTACTTTTGTTCTGCCACACTTTTGTTTTGGTTTTACTCGTGTCTCCTTGCTTTACACACAGACAAAATGAGGTTAGATAAACACTACAATATATTTCTTAAACCACTGAACAGCAAAATTTGACCCAAACAGAGTGAATGTGTTTTCTGAATGGGTCAGAGTTGACTTCAGGTGTAGGTGTGTGTGTGTGTGTGTGTGTGTGTGTGTGTGTGTGTGTGTTATCCTTACCGTTTCCTCTGTAGTGGCAGCCTCCTCTGCTAGACATGGCGTTGAGTCCTGCTCCTTTTCAAACACCTCCTACACACACACAGTGCACAGAACAGTTAATTCATACTTTTCTAACAATTCAAGCAGTCAACAGCACACTCTAGTGGTTGTCCATGGAAGTGCGTCACCAAGGCGGCAAAATAAAAAACCCATTTGATTCACAAAAGTTGCTCTCTATTAACTTTCCATTATGTCAAATGATGTTGATGTTTAAACTAAATGCATTTATTCCTTACCGCCATCCGTTTTCTGGTTAAGGTGACAGTTACTGTGACAATAGAGCCTGCTGTGATGTTATTGCTGTCTTCATCATCAAGGACTGCAAAGACAACAGGAGAGGAAAAAAAAGGAACATTCAAAATCCAATTTCATGAATCTGTACAGTTCCACAATGAATTAGTGGTAATTATTTTAAATATAAACAGCATTTTATATTTTTCAAACTGCATGCAATGGTGAACAAAATGACTCTGTGGGTAAATTAAATTGCACATTTTCAATTATTAATTAAAGCACTCATAATACCAAGCATGTTATTCACCATTCTCTACATATCTATGCTATTTTCACTATACTCCAAAGGGAAGCAGCACCAGCCAAAGTCATACTTAAATGCAGTATTAGTAGCAGTTTAGTTTACAGACATGTCACAGGTCAGCCGGTGGCCAAACAAGTTGTATTTTTATGTTTGTGTTTTAGGACTGACCCTGTAGTTTGGTATCCATGGTGATGTGAGGGAAGCTGCCCAACACAGCCATGACCTCATCATACTTCTCCTCCCCCAAGAAACGCAGCATGCTGCGTCTGTCGGAGTCCTTGAGGCTCACCAGGTCCTGGAGGCTCCGAACTTTATACTAGAGAGAAAAGGAAACAGATGATCCGTTGACCCGTGGCACGACAAAAAATTTCTTCATACTGTTCTCCTCTAAATTGTACAACGCATGTGTGCAAGTACACAGACTGAGTAGTTACCTTCTTAGAGATGCAGTAGCGGAGGTGCTCTTCCTCAAAGTGGGGCAGCTGCAACAGTGGTGATTTTGACTCCTGCAGACCCTGCACTATCATTTGGGTCAGCTTCATGCAATTCTCTATGGTTACTAGTCGAGGAGCGTGGAAACCTGGAGGAATGCAAGCCAGTGAGCGTACACGCACACACGCACACACACACACACACACAAACATATTATTATTTATGGGCAAAATTATCAAAGAAGTTGTTATGTGGGTTGAGGCTTGAGAGAATATTATTCTGAGTGATAACGCCTGCTTGCTTTAATTTGGACCTGTGTGTGGGTACCTCCTCTGCTGTTGGCCATCATGGTAAGCTGACAGCCCACGTTGATCATCTCCTGCAGGAGAGCTGGACTCTTCCTCACCACAAACCTCTGATCTGGAACAGAAACACACACACACACATACCATGTTCTGAATAACATGTGACCTGACGTTCCTCGTACAGTATTTGATATTATTTCATTAGGAGAAAAATAGCATTATTGTAGAGATAATGGTTGACTTATGTTAAGCATGAACATGCACAGTTCCCTCTCATTTGCTTTTTGGTGCCGATTCAAAGTTTTCTCATTATTAATTCAATCTGTCAGTCAAGACACCGGTGAAGTATTCACATCATACACAGTGTATTGACTACTGCAGCTTCTAATGGTTCAGAAACAGATGGCCAAAAAATACAAAATACATAAAATAAGCAAAAAACTTCTCTACAACTTGTCCTTGTAAAGTACCTCTGCACCGCTGTGCATGAGTGTAAACATGGGTTGTGTATTCATAATGAAATCTAGTGACATCACAACTTGAGGCAAAAACAACTTGCGCAGCCGTTTTAATTCCCATCTGTGAAACCAGTCCCGGACCACCTGCTTAAGAGAAGGCTGACCGAGCAATTCCAGCTAACTCACTGTGTATTATGTGAACATACAAAATTCAACAGAAGCTTCCTTTATTTACTCACAATGTTGTAATATCTATGATATGCAAACCTAATTTTTGTCATACTTTTGCAATTCAGTCAAATTTCAGTGTCCTACCTTCTTCTAACTCCTCTGATACGTCCATGCGTGCCAGGTGAGCGAGCACTAAGACCCTGGCCTTCAAACTGTAAGGATAGCAAAATGGAGGCTCCTTCTTCTTCACGTTGATGTTTCCCAACTCACGGATCAACTGCAAGAAAGGCAGGAGAGCTTGTTTATGACACATACCTGAGGTTAATTTGCCCTTCTTAAAGTGTTCAACTGTGGACAATCCACCTCTTCCTCATACACAGAAACACACATTTGCAAGTTTCCTTTCTGATTAAGCTGTTTTCACACATGTACACATAACCACATTATGCTGATGTTTGTTTTTACCTGAGGCACTTCAATGTTATCTGTTGGTCGTATGGTGGCTTCTTTGTTGCTGCGAGGGTCAAACTCAAATGCTGCTGTCAACACCATGGCTAACCCTGGAGGGCACAGTGACAGAAAATCACAATGAGTCCAATAAAAGATGATGAGAAACTGAGATTCGTAAACCTGTGTTAGGTGGAAAATATACACATAGAACTGATGTATTAATCATTATACCGGCAGCAATTACCTACATGAACACTCACTGTATCCAACTTTTACTTGATACAGCTTAATTGTGGTTGTAACTGGTCAAAGTCTTGTTCTAACATTATAAGTGTCGGAAGGGAAACTCACGTTTCATGTTCATGTTGGGCGTCTTGTACATGAAATGCATGAAGAGCTGGGTAGTGTTAATGAGGATCTGGTCTCCACTGTATCGGATGGAGCGGTACCACCATGTGCCCTAAGACATAGAAGGAGAAAAAGAAAAAGGAATAGAGAGAAAAGTGAGAAATTGGGGCAACTGGTTTTGTACTCTACTGCACAGAGCCTGGTTTTAAATCATGGCGAGGACTTACCACGACAACAGGAAGGATGACCATAAAGGCTAGTCCATATACCAATAGCACCTACGGAAATCAAAATCAACATTAGAGCTACAAAAGTATACATAGCCTTATACACAGGTTATTGGTGACATTATTTGATGACATTGGCTTACTGCTAGTCAAATACAATAAATGTCAATGCACAATGTGGATTTTCTATCAGCTGATACGATAACCAATAATTTAGCATTTTTGTATTTTAAATAGAAGTTAATATAACCTGTCGCTTTTAGACGGTAAGAAAGGCTAATATGTAGTGAGCACAGATGGATGATTTAATATTGCATAGCTCTGTTCTAACCAAATCTAACAGACATCACTATTGTTAACAGAACAACAAACAACACTTGACTCGTTAAATGTTAATTTATTTTTTCTAATAAAGTACTTTGGGTTTCATAGAGCATAAAGTCTTTCAATTGTTTGGCATAAGAAGTCAAAATAAATCATTATTATTGTGGATAGTTAATCAGCTGTAATTTAATTATCAGGATAATCTATAATAATATAAATTTTCTTTTTCTTTTCCCAATCATTTTTTGGCCCCAATAATTAGCATACATCCCTAAATGTTAAGTATATCTGAAAACTTTAGTATTGCAATATTTTGTTTTGTGACATTGTATCACATTCTCAAACACCCTGTGATTTTTGTGTTTAAACCCACAACTGCTAGATACAGTGTTGTAATTGTAAACTGAGGGCTATTATGTTGGATGCCACAGGGACTGTGATAAATCCAAAAGCAGGTTTATAAATTAAAACTACAGTACACTGACGTAATCAATAAATATATACCAGCATTGAGTTCTTCTGGTCAACAATCCAGGCAGGCAGGGCAATACCAAAGCTGGTTGCTAGAGAGGGAGACATAAGAGGCAATGGACCAAAATCATTTATTTAAACACTGCAACAGCAATGGGCTGTGAGGCGACTCTGGCACCATAGACAAAGTTGGAATTTGAAAATTAAACCACATAATCCAATTTTAGAAGCTACTAAAATCTCAGTAAACATGATATTTATGGTGCCCAGTGATCATGCATTGCGAACACCCACAGCAGAAGTGTGTGTGAAAGCGGGAGACACTTTCTCATCGTAAGCTCTGGGTGTCAGCTCGCACTGGAATTAATGGGTTGCCATGTTTCATCTTCCATTGTTTAACACGTTCATGACTTCAAGAGGCTGACTCACCAGCATGAAGACAGACGGTATGCCAAAAAAAAATGCAAATGCATACTGTGGGGTTCAGGGCAGCTTCACTCACCTCCTGGGCCATCTGGGTTACCGTAGGTTTCCCAGTTCTGTCGTGACTGTTCATTGGTCAGACTGTGGAAAAATACAAGGAAGTAGATGAATCAGACTGATTAATCTGTTTGTCAATTATGCTAATGCTGATGCAGTCTTTCTGTCTGGCTTAAAAAGTCCAAAAAATAAAGTCAGGATTTGAATGACACTTACGCAGCATAGGCTTTGGCAATTCTCATAAATGTGGCCTCATCACCACCTTTGTCAGGGTGGTACTTGAGTGACAGTACACGGTATTGCTTCTTGATTTCTGACAGCGATGCCCCCTGGAGACAGAAAGATACTTACAGCAGCTCCTTACCACACCACATACAGTGCAAGATACAGTCAAAAATAAAGAATATAATAGAGTCTCAAAAGTCCTGAATGATGATATTTTTTTTAATCTTGTTTCTCATCTTACACAACTTATGGGTCTCGTATATTGAGTACACAAGATAAAAGGTGTCTTTAAGGGCTTTAGAGGCTCTGTAGGATACAGCAGACTTTATGTTTTGTGAGTGTTTACCGGGTCCAAGTTGAGGACTTCATATGGATTATACTCCTGGTACTCTCTGTCCAGCTTGGACACCTTGTAGGCTAGCAGCAGGAACACAGCCCAACCAAATAACAAGGCTGCTTTCCTGAAAATGGCAACACACAAACAGGAAAAAAAAAAAAGTCACACACAAGCATCTGTGATTTTCAGAGACAACATCAGGCCTGTATCATTTTTAGCAGAGGTTTTCACACTGTGGCTTGCAATTGCTAAAATTGGTGTTAAGATATTCTGCAGAACCAATCTGCAATGCAAATAGTTCTCGGCACTTAAAGATACAAACGTTAGGTCGTAATTTGAAAGACTAGAGAGTGCTTTATCTTAATCTACTGCATGCAAGCAGAAGGGCAGGACAGGTTCTGACATTGTTGTTGTTTGGTATTTATGCATGGAAGCTGAACTTGTTTCCATGACAATGGCAAAACCCTATGGCCTGCTCTGCAGCATCTGTTGCCATGACAACGTCTCACTAGCCCGAGTTGTCTGAGTGGCTCAACCAGAAAAATACATGCTGTTTCCCTATAATAAACACTATCATTATGGTTCAGTTGTGAAAAGGAAACAGATACTGAGATTTTGAGAGACAGGTTGAGACAACCAATTTGATTCATTCCATTTAATAAATATGCTAGATGCTTCCACCAGCTTCTGTCACAGACACAACCAAGCCAATAAAGAATTTATGAATTTTGAGGGTAAAAACAGGATGTAGGTCTAGTGACCGAACAGGAGTGGAAAGTGGAAGTATGACGACAAACAGCGGAGAAGGCACCGACAGAGCAAAGAGGAGATAATTGTGATACGGAGGCAAATGAGCATAAGAAGATAGGCAGAGTGAGACACTGAACAGCACTTCTGAACACACCCATCTTTTCATTAACCCACACATGCAGAATGAATAAACACCGCTGAAGAAACACAGTCACATTAGGAGATATGTTAAACAACGCAACACAATATTTAGACCAACAGCACACAAGGTTTACACAGGAAAGCAACATAAGCCGAATTTGCTTCCACACACGCACATAAGCTCAAGTTTGCCTTTGCTTCATCTTCACACAACAGTGACAACATCCCTGTCCAGCTGGAAACACACACACACACACACACACACACACACACACACACACACACACACTTGAGAGGACCAGTAAGCTATCAGGAACAGCTCCAGTGGTGGGAGGATGACTGAGCTTTCTCAATGCAAACAGCTCAGGGAAGTCACACCCAAACAACAGTGAGTGCTGTGACATTTAACAACAAAGAAGAAGGGAGCAAAACTGTAATTACACTGCCGAGCAAATTATGGCTAATCATATGTTAAGACATTTATATGAAAGTGATCCAAATGAAGCTACAATTGTTACGTGTTACGTGAATTATTCATTAGTATAATCGCCTCAAGTTGGTGCTACGGATGAATTTCTTCGAAAGGGAGGTAGGTCATCATATCACCTGCAAGCTGTGTGTCCACAAGTATTCGCCCCCCCTGAAATTGTGTACATTTTATTTATGTTTATGTTTATTTTCACCACAGAAACTGCAGAACCCAAATCTAAAATCACTGGACTCACTTTAGTGTTGGGACAATGCTCTGCTGTGACTTCATCAGCCTGAGCCGGTACCACAGACACCTGCCATGTACCCTCCTCAGGCTCTTCAGACGAAGTTGTTCTGGAAAGAGGATGGACAGGGTGAGATTACCGACACGTTAGCAACCATCACACTCGTCAAGATCATCAGAAATGTCACAGTAATTTGGATAGGATAACAAGAGCTATCTAAATCAGCGGAGAGTGATATTTCCACTATGAAAACACTGTGGATGTGTTGGCCACGCAGGGAGAGCCGTATGTTTACTACATTCAGCTTATATTACTTCATTGTAACACAGTCTGGACAAGAGAAGATTCAGTTCAAGCCCTGATGTTCACCAGGGTTACCTAACTTACATACCATATTAAATCTTAAACCCTAACATAAATATAACAACTGTTAGCAACAGTTTAAGCTCCAGTCTATGGTGACCTGTCATTCAGCTGTTCCCAGCAGACCAGCTGAGTAAAGTCTGCTAGCATGTGTTACATAACTCACGTTAGATATGCTTTTTTCTGTTGACAAACAGATAGCTGTACTAAGATAAGAACTATAAAGGTCAATACAGGCATAAACTTGAGAACCTGCGAGAGTGACACTGGCTTTTGTTGGTGGAAGGTTCAGTAGCCAGCTCTCAGCCTCATGGTGAACCCCTGAAGTAGGCAATACTGGGCAGATATGTGGAGTTAACACAGGTGGGTAGGCGGTAGGATGCTCATTGGTAAAGCTGTTGAGGTAGCTGACTGTTAACAATATCTCACTTGTACTAAGCTCTCGACAGTGAGACGTGAACCCCATCTGTGTAACGTTTGCTGGCTTACATTTTACAAGTTCCCGTAAACGTCTGGTGAGGTTGAACCAGCCTCTGCCTAGCCAGATTAACAGACTGCCAACCGGTGAGGATTTACCAGCCGAAATGTTGGTTGAACTCTTCACAGTACACTAGCTGAGCTTAGTTAGTTAGCTAAGTTAGCAGTGAGCCAGACATCGGGCCTTACCAGCATTCTGATCCCGGGGCCAGAGGTAATAGGTGGCTGGGATCACAATAAGTCCGACGAAGGACGTTAGGAAGTAGAAAAAGGTATTGCCGCTGTCATCGTACTGGAACTGTTGCCCGGCCATTTCGTAGCGGCGCTTGGGTCGCCCTTCTTCTCCACCGCTGCGCTTCCCCCTTCTAGCCCAATGTGTGCGACTTGACAGACCGTTAGCTAGCCAGCTAGCATCAAGTTCGCAAGACAGCGCTGATCATCGGTGTACGTGGTGTACGCCTGCGCAATGTGGCCTTTCTTCTTCTCTGGGTGATTCAGCGCGTTTCCGGAACGCCGCTGACCTCCAGAGGTGGAAATGAGTAAGGGCTGGCTTTAAATGTGTATGATGAGATGTTAGACAAAACATACCTGGTAACTTAATTCATTGTTACATAGTTAGGTTCTATATCTCTTGCACTTGTGGAAACACGGTTCCATCATTTTTGGGGTATAAAGAAATGACATAAATTATTTCTTAGTCACAAAAATTGATGTGGATTCAAAAAAGAAAAAGAAATACAGAATAACTTTTTAAATTAGTTTTATTAATTACACAGGCAATTCCAAAGCAAAAGCAAAATAGATTGTACTTTATTCCTGGCAGTAGTGCCGGAAACCAGATCTCAATAAGAGTTGCTGTTGTGGTCAGTGTGGTTGACCTTTAGATGTTGGCACATTGTGCTTGTTTGATTGAGTTAACATTTGTACAAGTGACCATTACTCCACAATGTAAGTAAGATCTCATCCTATGTAATCGTGTACAAGGTTTAGCTCTATTTCTGTAAACGTTAATGGTGTAAAATAATTAAGATTAAATTACCTTTATTAAATGATTGGTGTTTGCATTAAATTTGTAGTTCTAGATAGAAAAATCTGCAGGTCTGGCTGTTTATTTATCTATTGATTAACTGTCTATTAGATATAGCAGAATTAAATAGAAGGGCTTTTAAAATAAATTGCATATTGATCTACGCTTGTCAGTCAGGGGTTTATTTTGCAGTTTCTGAAGAGATCTATCTAATGAGTTACACACATGAACGTGGCTGTGAAGGTGCTTTGCTCTTGGTTCCTTCTCTGCATAGGCTTACTTTCAACCAATAGCTTTAGCACAACATTTCTACGTCACATTAGGTATATGTTTTGTTGATTTTTGAGCTGCAGGCAAAGAAGATGATGTAAAGTGTTTTAAACTTTTTGCATTTATTTTCTCTGCAGATTGATTCTGTCATATGTGCACTATAATCTCCTCCAGGGGCTTGCGTTTCAAGTCAGGCACTGTGGCGTCAGAAGCAGGATAACCCACAGGAAGTAACATCAGCAGCTTCTCATTGGCTGGCCGTTTGAGGAGGAGCCGGAGCTGGGGGCCGCAGTTCAGGGGCGTCGATGTGACAGTAACAAGGCCCACGTTCTGATAAGCAAATGGACACAAAGAACAGACGTAAGTCTTCATAAGACAAACAAAATGTTATTTAGTTTAGCTTTAATTGCATGAATTTTCAAGAGGCTGGGAAGAGCCACATAGTTCTATACACTCTTAACTCTGACTTCCATGTTCTTGTTTAAATTGTATCTATGACAGAGAAAACAGGGACTGACTCATCTGTATTTCAAGGGGTCTTTACCTGTAATGCAGCCAACAGGATTCCACAGGATATGGATACACTGATTTCATTGTAGTAATGTGTCTTCTTCTTGCCGTTTGGTAGCATCCCGTAGGTTTGTTTGAAGATGAGGACCAGATATGGAGCAACATCCAAGTACTCCTTAATCCAGTTTGTCCTGCAAGAAGAAGGAAGTTGTGAGAAAATGAAGAGACATGTGAAGTTAGAAATGGTAGTTAGATTTTACATAATGTCTAATAATTATTGTGTATGTTTTAGGTGTATGTCAAATTTTAAAATTTAAAAGGAATGGGGGTTGAATAATGTCAGTGCAGTGACTTGTTCTAGTACAAATATATTGACATAAATTTGTGTGTGAGTGTGGAGTAACCCAAGAATGGGAGCTCACCGTAATCTGGCCAAATCATTGACCCACTTGTCCCCCATCCTCTGACGGTAGTTGACCTCCTCCTCTTCCTCCACTATCTGTCTGATCTGGTGCTTCGTCTCTGGGTCTGACACCACGACGAACGTCCAGGGCTCTGTGTGTGCTCCACTTGGGGCCGTGCCTATCCAGAGCATGGAGGAGGTGGAGGTGGATTAGAAAAAAACATTAGCTGCATCTATCTGTAGACCAAATGTTTTGATTTTTGTTTATAACAGATTAACAGTGGGCTATTTGTCTTTAAAACATGCCTGCAGTGCGGATGACATTGTCGATGACTTCACGCGGGACCGGCTCTGGGCTGATGAATCGGACAGACCTCCGCTGGTTCAACAGATTATACAAATCCTTGGATCTCTCCAGCATCGTCTCCTCAGGGTAACGTGGGGGTGAGTAGGGTACATGTGGAAGGTCTTCCTCCTCGTTGTGGTCCACCCAATCAGCATCCTCTAAAAGAATGACAAAAAGCAGGACCACTGAGCAGCTTCTGATATGAAAATTAATTCATTTATTCATTCATTTGTAACATTTGGAATAAATAATAACATTGTGTAATCAGCATTGTTTAACTACCAAGGGCAGACTACAAGAGTCAGCTTCATTATATTTCATCACCCGATAGCTTTTTCTGATAAATTTCATTAATATGCATCATGTAAGGACCCCTCTACAATAATTGGCCCCTCTGGGTCTTGGTCCCAGGAACATTTGCCCACTTTGTAATCCAGGTTGTAGCTTCATCTTTATTTGGTGCAGTCTCATCAAAAGGCAAAGATATGATTATATCCAGTGGTGTAGAAATAGTCCTGCATTCAAAGTTTTACTTAAGTAAAAGTATTAATACATTAGCATCAAAATATAATTAAAGTACCAATAATAAAAGTACCCATAATGCAAAATTTCAGATTCATGTATATCATATTTATGGATTCCATGTATTAATGCATTAATGTCTACATCACTTTAATGCTGCACAGCTGGTAAAGGTGGAGCTGATTTTAATGAATTTATATACTGCTGGGTAGCTTGTGAATTTCCTCTGTGATCTGCAGAGTGACAGGAACGAGGACTGACTGTATGATGGTGAGCTAGACAGCTTTTTCAAGTCAAGCCATGTGATACAATAATGGAAATTCCCCATGATAAATGAGTGTTGTTTTTTTTATCATTAAACGCGATAATATTGTATATCGTCCCATCCCTAGGGAAGACATAGACCTGATTTATTTGTTTTTTATATTTTGTATTATTAATTTTCGTCTGCAAAGTAACCAATAAATGTAGTGTAAAAAGTATAATATTTACCTCTGAAAAGTAGTGGACTGGAAGGATACAGTAGTAGAAAATGCAAATACTCTCTAGCTTTAATGCAGTAATGCTGCCTGTTAGAAAAGAAGGAAAATCTCTTGAAAATCTGTTGTCTATTAACATTGTTGGAGGGAGCCTGGGAACAAGAATTTGCATTGCCAGCGACTGTTTAAGGTGCAATTGCTGTACATGTAACAATAACCATTATAGATTAACCGAGCTGTAAATGATTATGTTGAGAACAGTTCCCAGAAACTGTCCAATGCGCGCTCCCATAAGGCGAATATGAGCTTCCATTGTTGCAAGCAGTGGTTATGGAGCGGTAGAGCTGAGTCGACCGGCCTGTGAACAAAGTTCAGCCAAAGTTTCCAAAGTCACACAAAAAGAGTGTCTGTTCAGCTCTTACCGCCTTCTCTTTCTCTGGTTTCTGTATCGTCCTGTAGGTCCTGGTCCACCCAGGGTCTGTAGTCCGTTTTTGACGCTGCTGTAGATTTTTCCCGCGAGGCGGTCGAGGCGGTCTCCGTTTCCCGCGATTTCACCAGCATGAAGCCGATCACCAGGCACAGGACCACCGCCAGGACAGGCGTGAGGACGGACAGGAGAGCCATGGCTGGCTGGGAGCGGAGAGGAGAGGACAGGACAGGGGGACGCGGGTGGGCCTCAGCTGAGTGCAGAGCCGATGTAATGAAACACTTGCAGCCTACTGTTATCTGGACAGGGCTGTCTTTGAGAGAAATGTCCCATCAACACCCAACTCATGATTGGCTGTTGCTCCTTTGGACTTTGCAGACGCAGGTGTTTTCTGCAGAGCAGGTCTGATGCTGGTTAAGGTGTCAAATGACACGACTGATGCTGTATAGCAGAATAATGGTCAAAATATATCAATGCTGTATAGCAGAATAATGGTCAAAATATATCAACAGCTTGTCGACAGTCAACAGGGAATTAGACCAAATATAGGGTAAAATGCGCAGTATAGTTAATATAATATCTGAAGTTCACATTCACTTACTTATTTACTGTATATTTCTCTTTTGTTAAACTTTAATATTTTCCCCAAATGTTCCACAGAGCTCCAATTGGCAGAGCAGTGTTATGATTATCTTTACCTCGTATGACCCATGTAGGACCTAGTGTACAACGTTGGACTTTTTGACACCCAGTGCAAACATTAGACGTGGATTATCATACATCATCTATAGATTGTGGGGTGACCAAATATCAAAGGGCATCATTTCTTGCACGGCTTAATGTTTTGCATTTTCCATATGTCCAACAGGTGGCGCAATTTACTCACAGAGTAGGAGCCGTGATGTGGCCTCAAGCTCAACACCACATACAAAGCAGAAGTAAACCACAAGAGGAGGCACAACACAATTCAATGAAGGTGAGTCAAAAATATTTTCAGTGCATTCAAGCTCAATTTTATCCATTTATGTGATACAATATGTATATCTCCATATGGCCAACAGGTGGCGCAGAGAACTCTCTCCATTCCAGGCTGAAATATTTGGCTTTCAGATTGCGCTAATTGAAAGACTGGTGGTTCAGTATCAGGTGTTCACATCAGCCTTTTCTACACACCTGTGTAGCACATACATATAAATACTCAATAGATAAAGTTAAATAAGTAAATAACAACACGAGGTGGCAGAAGAGCAGTTGGCAGGAACTGGGAAAGACCCTCAGCTTTCAAGCATCTGCTTTCTCTCCAGTACGCGCGGGCGCACAGACAAGCACCATTGAGGGAATTTGGCTGGCGCACTGCAAAAGGTAATAGTCTGATCACATATCACTATTTTTATTTATTTATAAATTTATTTTTTTTTGTACATCTATCAGACTCATTTCAAGTGTTTTCATGTTAAATAATGGCAGAACTTAAAACTCCCTAATTTCTTAGCAGTGGTGGAATGCCCACGTCCTGCCATGTTATGCCATTTTTACTTTAGAGTTCCCTTATGAGACACAGTGTTGCAAAGCCGTAATTTCACGCCACTTCACAGAAAAGGGTTTTCTTTTTTAAGGGAAACATAGATTTTATTTTTAACACGAGACAAACGCCTGAGAAGCTCACTTCTTGCAGTGTTCGCTCCGCCTTCTCGGCTGTCTCCGGCGCTGCGCTTTAAATAGCAGCTGTTTAAAAGCTCCTCACCATTCTCCTGTCTGCCGCCCAGCACCCAGTCCTTCTTGCACCGCAACCCCACCACAACTCATTCACACATATTCTTAAATAACAAGCCTTTCACATCCCCGCAATGTCGGCCGCCAGCACCGAGACTAGTGCCCCGCTGCCCACCGCCGGCAGCCGCGTCTTCTTCCAAGCTGCGACCGGGGTGGGCTGCGTGGGGTCCGGCCCCATCACCGCCGGGGACGACCCGGTCCAGAAGAGACAGGGCAAAGTGACGGTCAAGTACGATAGGAAAGAGCTGCGGAAAAGACTCGTCCTGGAGGAGTGGATCATTGAGCAGCTCAGCGAGTTGTACGACTGTGAGGTGAGTGGAGAATCTTAAATCACACACGGTTAGTGCGCGCACTTGTCACCTACACCTTCAGAACCATATGCACATTTAGGGACACCGGTGGACAATGACAAGTGTAGCCTACAGCATGACAAGCATGGGAACAGGACGTGAGCGCTTGTTTTATGATTGTGATGAGCTTAAACACAACCTAATATCAAATTTAGATTCACTTAATATAATTAATCTGTGAATCCCCGCTCTGTTTAACCGAGTTTACGCTCGCTGTGCGCCTGGAGTTGCATTTTCTGGATCAGCTACCTGCATCTCTAACATCCTCCACTAAATCGTCTCGTGTCTGTAGGTTTATTGGTGTCTCTTTGTCCTCGGCAACAGTGATACCCGCTGGTTTACGACGGAGGAGAGGATAGCCGATGCGTCTATAACGATACAAAAGCTGTCTGGTGTAAAAATGGGGCTCTTTGCTGAGCTGCTGCACACTCTGACTTTGATGTATTGTCTCTTCTCTCTCATCCTCCTCTCTGTCGTTGACGGAGAGAGAGAGAGAGAGACAGAGAGACAGAGAGAGAGAGAGGGATGGCATGGCTCAACGAAGTCGAGAACGAGAAGGAGTGTGCGAGAGAAACCGAACGGCTGCGCCTTTTACGCGCCGGTCGCGTCGGTCTTTTTGGATTGTGTCCATTTTCCTTTAATATTAAGTTGTAGACTGACTGCGTTCTGCAATGGACCCATCTTTGTATTCCCTGTATGTGGTAATTCATTTTCAAATCGGGTGGTCATCGAGAGCAAAAGGCAGACTAAACAAGAAGCCATGATAGTGTTTCTGTGTTTGGTTGTGTGAAGCGACGCTCTGTGTGTCGGAATTAATTCCTCTGGGGTTTCTGTGGCAAATTTCTGACCTTTTTAAACCCTTTTTCACCTTTCGGGGGGGGGGGTCTGTCCCCACACGATATTGACAGCCCAATTACTCTGCGATCTCACGTTCACTAGTCGCATTCTTTAACATTTAAAGAGGGAGGGAGCGTGCTATGGGAGGTTGTGTGCGTGCAGGTAAGCCTGTGTGCAGAGAAAGAGAGAGAGAGAGATTCTATAGGTTATGTTTAAGTGCAAGTGCGTGCGTGTGTGTGTGCCCGCTGCCACACACAGTATGTTGCCAGAGCCAAGCAGGGGGAGGGGGAAGGACTGAAGAAGAGGAAAGAAGGGCAGTGGGTTAAGGATGTGCTGATGCTGAGACTCTCACTAGCCAATCACCTCCCCTCTAGCTCTGACCCCCTTCCTTGCAACAGAGGGTCTGCACAAACGCACACATATGCAAACACACACACACACACACACACACACACACACACACACACACACACAAATGCAGGCATACAGTTTGTCTGTCACTTCAAACTCAGCCAATCAGAGAGGGAAACAGGCCATGTGAGCCTGCATCGCACAGAGGAAGCTGTCAGACTCCACTGTGGGGGATGTGTTTTATTTAAATATGAAGGAGAATGTGTGTGAATGTTGGCGTGTGAGTGAGCCTCCGGGTACACATCATTAGTGTGCATGTGGTTATTCATTTATGGGATACGCTGCATCTTGGACTGTTACAAAAACTGACTGCAGCTTGTGCGCATGTGCAGAAGGGAAACACCTGCACAAATCACAGCAGGATGGTGAACGTCAACATAAAAGCGTTATGGTCTGTCTCAGTTTGTCCCTCTGCTGACAGGGCACTGCAATGCAAATATTTCTTTCCCCATACTGAAGGCAAATAGACTGTCTGCATGTGTGCAAAGCCATTAGGATTTCTTTCATTCTAGAGCCATCTAAATCTAAATCTTGTTTGCAAGTTTCCTCCTTTTCTTTACAGTCCCACTGTGGTTGAAAAGAGCCTGGTGGACTTGTTTACATTTCAAAGCTGGATGAGCTCTTGGCTTCATGTCAGTCTGCCGTCAGCAGGTGCGCTTGATCTATAAGTCGAATGACGCTCCCCCGCACGGATCGACTGATCTATTTGATGTTTTTCGGTGAGGTGCGGGGGTGCACCTGCCCAGCATTGATGTCAGAGAGTCACATCTTGGTCATGCAGCATTTGCCTTTCTCTGCCAGTGGATGTCGGCCTGTGATTTGTTTAATGCAAATGCATATTTAGCTAAATAATCCAAAACGCCTTAGCAGAGTGTTGCAGTCAGTCTGTTGGGATTTCTGGATGGACAGAAATTAATCTTTTATTCCACTATTTTAGCCTAACTGTTAACTAACTCTTCATTCTTGACTTCAATTTAATGATGGCAACTCATCAGTTTTCAGTGTAGATATTTCCAGCAGCATGACACCTCCTCATATGTGTCTTTCACACAGCAAATGGGATAATATCACATGATAATCCCCCAGCTCTCTGGCGTTGCTGCCAGTCTGATATCACGCTGGCTGCTGGAATAAGCCAAAGTGTTGACTGGTGCTAGAACGACAGGAAAGCTGGCAGGATTTCAGAGGACAGAAGGTAATGAAACCAGTGCATCATTATTTTGACACGTTGTCACTTTGGAGCATTGTTAAGGCTTACTTTCATCTGTGCATCTGTCTGTCCTGCCTTGAATAGATAGATGATGGCAGTGTTTGAGCAGGTGGACTTAACTGCTTTACTGATGATGTTTGGTCACATGACTGTAAATGGGAAGTTACACTCTCGCCATGCCTGTTAACACCTCCCTGTGCAGACCTAAGATAGACACAGGTGTGTATATATTGTGTTGACTGTGTGTGTGTGTGTGTGTGTGTGTGTGTGTGTGTGTGTGGAAAGATAGAGAGAGGGAGAGAGTGCTGATTTGGCTGTGCTGGTCCGACTTAAAGGTCAAACTCTGTATCAGTTTCATAAGACAACCTGATACTAGAGAACATCACAGAGTGTGTGTTTGTATGTGTGTGTGTGTGTGTGTGTGTGCTGGAAGTAATGGAGTGCAGAAAGGGTTAACGCAAACAAAATTGGATTTTATTTTCAATAACAAGCAGATGAGCCTTTTTGTTTCCAGTTTCTCCAGTCCAAGATATGTCTCAGGTCTTACTTTGGGAAATACACCAATTTCTTACCGAGAGTTAGACGAGAAGATAGATACCACTCTGTTTGGTAAATGTGAAGCTACAGCAGGGGTCAGTTTGCTTAGCTTAGCATAAAGACTAGAAACAAGGGGAAACAGCGTATTATTAGCTTTATAGCTCACTAATTAACATATTATATCTCATTTGTTTAATTGGTAGAAAATTGTGTAAAAAGGTGTGAACAATTTGTGGTT